ACCTGAGGGGCCTTGCGGACTTGTCGCTTGACGATTACCAGCGGGGCCTGTCCGATTTCACTGCCCTGTACATCAGCGGTGACGTTGCCCACTCCACATCCTATGGTCCGGACTCTTCAGGGGTGTCAACAGTGCGGGCTGTGCTGCAAGGCGGCAAGATTGTAATCCTTGTGGACGCAGCCGAACTCATGGCGTTCCATGGCACCCAATCGCTGCAGACGGCGCTGCAGCTGTTCACTGCCATGGGCTCAGCAGAGGTGCCCGACGCCTTCACGCTCCCAAGCTTGTCTGCAGTTTACCTGCGGACGGGAGATGAGCTCTTTGTGCCCTTCGGTTACATCGGGGTGGAAAAGACACTTTTCTTTGCGGTTGGGAAGCCGCCTGGACTGGATGAGTTCTTTGAATAGTTTCGGGGATGGTTGCGCAAGTGCCGCCGCACGCGTGTAGGATCCACAACTTGCTGCTTTCGGAGAGCTCGGTGAAATCGTTCCGGCTCACTGCGTCGCAAGTGAGCCGACTACAGCATTTGTTTGCGTTTAATGCCATTTGTCTGAAATAAATCTTTGAGATAAAATCCTAGGTGCGCTTGAAGCCCTTCACCCAAATGCTGATGGACGGACTCCCTCATGCGCCGGATCAAGGGCAAGATGCGCTGGACGACTTGGAGCAGGACACAGCTGCGCGCATTCATGTTTGAGGCGCCCTTTCTGTGAAGAAACCGTTCGGCAGGGGACGGGCAACGCCCTTAACTGTCACGGACAACCTCAAACTCAACTCAACTCAACTCCCAGGAACAACCCAAGTTCAATTTCACACATCATTTCGGGCGTCTTTTTTTGAGGGTGCCCCTCTTGACTAAGGGAAAGTTGGTCACCGCCCAAGCCACCCAAACATATTGAACTCCCCCACGTAGGAGCTGAGCGACGCGTTAGACCAGGAGGACGCCACCGCTGGTCCGCAGACACCGATGCCCTTCTTCCCACGTGCGGAGGCAGCCATTGCAGCTGCAAAAAAAGCAACGCTCGAGCAGGCGAAAGAGAAGGCAGCAGAGGCGAAGGCAGCAGCCAACGAAGCAGCAATGCAGCAGATCGCAGAGGCAGCGAAGAAGGCAATTGCAGAGAAGGCAGCAGCTGAGAAGGCAGTGCTGGAGAAGGAGAAGGCGGCAGCAGAGAAGGCAGCAGCAGAGAGCACGATTGCAGAGAAGGCAGCAGCAGAGAAGGCAGCGATGGAGAAGGAGAAGGCGGCAGCAGAGAAGGCAGCAGCAGAGAGCACGATTGCAGAGAAGGCAGCAGCAGAGAAGGCAGCGAGGGAGAAGGAGAAGGCGGCAGCAGAGAAGGCAGCAGCAGAGAGGGCAGCAGAGAAGGCAGCGCTTGAGAAGGAGAAGGCAGCAGCAGAGAAGGCAGTGCTCGGGAAGGAGGAGGCAGCAGCAGCGGAGAAGGCGATTGCAGAGAACGCAGTGGCAGCAGCTGGAAAGGCAGCGATGGAGAAGGAGAAGGCATCAGAGAAGGCAGCAGCAGAGAAGGCGCTTGAGAAGGAGAAGGCGGCAACTGAGAAGGCAGCAGCAGAGAGGGCGATTGCAGAGAAGGCAGCAGAGAATGCAGCAGCAGAGAAGGCGGCAGCAGAGAAGGCAGCAGCAGAGAGGGCCTCGAGGGCGATTGCAGAGAAGGCAGCGATGGAGAAGGAGAAGGCAGCAGCAGAGAAGGCAGCAGCAGAGAGGGCGATTGCAGAGACGGCAGCAGCAGAGAAGGCAGCGCTTGAGAAGGAGAAGAAGGCGGCAGCAGAGAAGGCAGCAGCAGAGAGGGCGATTGCAGAGAAGGCAGCAGCAGAGAAGGGAGCGCTTGAGAAGGAGAAGGCGGCAGCAGAGAAGGCAGCAGCAGAGCGGGCAATTGCAGAGAAGGAAGCAGCAGAGAAGGTTGCAGCGGTAGAGAAGGCAGCTGCAGAGAAGGCAGCGATGGAGAAGGAGAAGGCAGCAGCAGAGAAGGCAATTGCAGAGAAGGCAGAAGCGAAGCGGAGGGCAGAAACCGCAACGCAGGCGGCCACGATTGCAGCGGCAGAGAATGCGCCCGACACGCTGCTTGAGGCCCGGAGGCAAGTTGATCTGCCCTGATAGATTTTGATGCCCGACATTATTTCCAAGGGCTTTGTTCTACTTAGTCTGAATTTCAGATTGGAGCAGAGTAACCAACCCACTGCGGAGGGGGGGGGGGGTTGGGGCTCCATGGCGGTCATTTCCTTGGATCGAAATGAATTGGGATTTCTATGTGGCTTAGTGTTGTGTCGATTCGTGTTCCACTGTTTGCTACCAATTTCACGGGCACTAGAGACGAGCTTGAGTTTCCCCTTTCATGTGTGCTCATTGTTTGTTGCGTTGCAAGTTGTGCTTGAAAGAGAACTTGAGCTTTCCTGGATTTTTAGAACTTCAGTACTCCTGTTGATTGTCGCGTGACGTGGCTTGAGATTGACCTTGAGATGTTGATTTCGAACTGCCGTTGTTCGCTTTTAACGCGCTTCCAAGGCAGCATCGGCCGCAACGCTGGCGGCGACCATGGATGCCCATGACATCTTTGCGGGGGACAAGTCCAAGCACGGTTCCGATGCGGATGTGGATCGGAGCGCTGCCGGCCAGAAGAACGCCAAGGCAGCCAAAGCCAAGGCCAAGGCCAAGACCAAGGCCAAGGCGAAACAGGGTCCGTCCAGCGAACAGTTTGCCAACCCGTTCGACGCTTCCAAGCGTCGCCGTAGGGCCTGAACAAAAGGGCACACGTAGCCTGCAGCTGGTCACCTGTTGAGCAATAGTTTAAAACATGCATATACTGCAGGGCTCAACAATTCTTTTTGCTGTGAATGCTCTCCAGGTTTTTCATGTCACCCAGTGGGCCTAGGGTATGCAGGTAGCTGAGGGATTGCGCTTGCCATGCCATGACAGGCTTCAAAGGCCCACTCGGGCACTGGGGGCAGTTGGATTTAGGAAGTGGCTCTGGCCACATGCGAGGGCCGCTTTCAACTGCCAGTTACCGTTGAAAGTGGCCAGGGCAGGCGATGCCCACCATTTCATTTCAATTCACTGAAGCGCCGCGACAAGCAGCCGTGCTTACATAGAGCGATTCACCACGCCCATCGAGGCAAGAGAAGAAGTAAGAATCGCTGTCTGGAACTGCAACTGTGGTTTGTTCGTGCTTGACACGGTCATGAGCCCCAATTTATTGGGTTTGAGCCGCTTCACTTTTGGCTGCTTTTTCCGGCTGCTAGCGTTGGTGACTGTTGTCGTGTTGTTTTCTCGCGGTTGGCGGCTGACCGTTGGCTGCGGGCGGTGGTTGATGGTTGTTGGCTGTTGGTTGCTTGGCTGTCAGTTGCGAGTTGCGGGTTCCCAGCCAGATTCTTGAACAGTGTGTTGGCAGGGCGAGATTGATTTGCAAAAGCCGACGGCTGAATTTGGGATGGTTAGCACAAGCGTGTTCAAACTTTTGATTACGGCTGGTGCAATTGTGCTTTGTGCAACGTTTGCATGATTTCTAAATAGATAAACAGACCAAATAAATACATACACACAAAGACTACATGACTAGATACAAAAAGAGTAGATAAGAAAATGAGTATATAAGAAAAAGACACATTGCGACATATCTAGACAGATAGATAGAGAGATAGATGGATGGATGGATGGATGGATAGATAGATAGATAGACGTGTGTATACATACTTATTTGCATTTGTATGTGGAAGCTCTCATGACTGGGGCAACAAAGCGTATCTGTATCCAATATGTTTTTATTGATGTTGATTTGTGGTGCCATTGTGTTTTGCATGAATCTGATGAGGGCGTATTCGGCAAACATGGTCATTGTGTGGTCTGTTCAGACTTGATAAAGCGCGAACAATCAGATATGTTAAAGGCTTGGTGTGGCAGCGGCCAACCCGCGTCAACGCGCGACCAAATGCCAAGTAGCAACGCGCGAAACACAAACTACACGCGGGCTAGTTGAGAGCTTTAGCTGTTTAGTCTCCGAGAAAAAGCTACGCTGAAACAAGTTTTACCACCAACTGTGGGCACGACTGTTTGTCATCAAGGCAAACGCGTTTTTGGTCATTGGCTTTGTTGCGTTAGCGCGCGCGCTCATACTCGCGACTAGGCAGCGCATTTTGGCGTGAGCCGCACATTGTAGATGCGTGGTCAGTTTTATCTGTTCATTTATGGGGTAGCAGTGCTAGGCCCCCATTGGTTTTGGAACGCTTCTAGCAGTTGGATCCACACCACACTGGTTGGAACACTTCCAGGGTGTACCCCCGCACCAGCTCGTGAAATTTAACACTCCCTCTCCCTCTCGCTCCCCATCTTCCCTCTCCCCCTCACCCCCTTTCCCCCTCTCCCCCCTCACCCTCGCCTCTCCTCTCTTTTTTTCTTTCTCTTTCTCTTTTTTCTTTCTCGTTTTCTTTTTCTTTTGCTTTGTTTCTTTCTCTCTCTCTCTCTCTCTCTTCCTCCGTCCGCGCTCCCTTCTCTCTCTCTCTCTCTCTTTCTCTCTCTCTCTCTCTCTCTCTCTCTCTCTCTCTCTCTCTTTGTCCTTAGTGACTTAGGGGCCTCTCATCCAAGCCGCCAAGCGGCTTCTTTAGCGAGCATTTTTGGTTGCCAAGTGTCCCTTTACGTAAAGCGAGCAAGAGCAAGAGAAAGAGAAAGAGCAAGAAAGAGAAAGAGAAAGAGAAAGAGAAAGAGGCAGCGAAAAGGAAGAGAAACAGAAAGAGAAAGAGAAAGAGACAGAGAAAGAGCAAGAGAAAGAGCAAGAGAAAGAAAAACAGAAACAAAAAAAAGAAAGAAAGAGAAAGAGGAAGAGACAGAGAAAGTGAAAGAGAAAAACAATCAGAGAGAGAGAGGGAGAGACATGGGGCACAGTCACGGTGCAGTATTTGGGCCATTGTTCGTCGTAAACCTGAAACAAGCGCAACGCCGAAAATGGCCCGAAAGACTCACACAACGACTCCTCTCTGACTTCGCTGTGGCCCCGTGCGAGGATGTGGCCGAGACGAGAGGACGGCGGCTGCCAGGGGTGGAAGCCTCGTTTCCATCCACAAGAAACAGCTCAGGTCTGCGGTCGTGAAGCTGTTTGGACACGCGCATGAACGAGTCTTAGGGGGTCGTTTTCCATTCGGGAAATGCTGCGAAACCACCGAATGGCCGTGAAGCCAGAGTTGGCCGTGAAACGGCCATGAAATCCTCACAAAAGGCCGTCTCGCCAAACTGCGTCAACCCCAAGCGGCCGTGAAATTCATGTTTCGTTGTCGAGACAAACGACTGCCTAAACCGTGACACACACTGTGAAGCGCGCGCTGTGCGCTTGAGCGTGCATCAACATTCTGGCAGTTGCCCAGCTCAGAGCAAGAGCGGGAACAGACACCGCGCTAGCTCGGCGAGTCACAGACTCACCAATCAGAACACCCGCAAAGCTCTCACCACCAGTAAGACTACCGTGGCGAAACAGTCAGCCTCATCTGGGACGCTCGGTCCAGCTATAGTATCGGGCTAGCAGTTAGAATATATTTTTTAAAAGTAAATGAAAATGCACATTTCAAAAGTATATCAAAAATGAGTTAGAATAAATAGGAAAAAGTCAGTTAGAATAAAACAAAAATTAAAGATAGAATATTTCAACAAAAAAGAAGACAACAACTAGAATATTTCAAACTAAGAAAACCACAGATAGACTATTTCAAAATAAAGGTTTCTGCTATGAACAACTGCCATAAATGTCCTAGCTGCTGGCCTGTTGCTAGATGTTTCTATTTACGGCTTTCAGCAAACCATGTGGCTGTGGGTCCCATGATTTTCCATTTGGGTCCGTCTCTCTTTAAAGGGTATGCAAAACCAAACGGAAACCAACCGTTTTGAGGGGTCCCCCTAAGAAAGACACACGCATTTACCAGAGGAATGCATGGCTTCTCCTTTTTTCGGAGCTCAAATGCTCAGCCCGACGGGCCATGCCCCTCTCCCACAAACAGATAGAATATTTCAAAATTAGGGTTTCTGCTATGAACAACTTCTCTGCGATCCTAGCTGCTAGCCTGCTGCTAGATGTTTCTATATACGGCTTTCAGCAAACCATGTGGCTGTGGGTCCCATGATTTTCCATTTGGGTCCGTCTCTCTTTCAAGGGTATATGCAAAACCAGACGGAAACCAACCGTTTTGAGGGGTCCCCCGAAGAAACACACACGCATGTACCAGAGGAATGCATGGCTTCTCCTTTTTTCGGAGCTCAAATGCTCAGCCCGACGCCCCACGCCCCTCTCCCACAAACAGATAGAATATTTCATATACAGCAAATTCTCCAGAGACTCAAACGGTACCGCGACCAAAATATGCATGAACAGCATTTGGGGGGGGGGGGGGCACATAGAATATTTGCTTTTGCAAACCTTCATCAGGTGATTCATCGTATGCATAAATTACTAATTATAGAGATAGTAAATATTGGATTGCTTTTTTTGAGGGTACGCCAGTATATTCCAACAAGGGGTGGCCTTCCTTTCCCTTTAACCCAACCACAAACGGCACCGAGCCCAAAATATGCATGAACACCATGGGGGCGCACAGTTAGAATACTTGTTTTTGGCAAAACTTCATCAGAGGCATAATAAAAGAAATAGAGATAGTAAATGTTCATTTGTTTATTCTTTGAGGGTCCAAAAGCGTGGCCTTCCTTTCCCTTTAATCCAACCCCAAACGGTACCGAGCCCGAAATACAAATGAACACAGTGGGGTGGCACAGTTAGAATATTTTTGGCAAAACTTCATCAGGTGATGAATCGTAGGCATAATAAAAGATATAGAGATAGTAAATATTGATCTGTTTATTCTTTGAGGGTCCAAAAGCATGGCCTTCCTTTCCCTTTAGCCCAACCCCAAACGATACCGAGCCGAAGCTATACATAAACACCATGGGGAGGCACAGATAGAATATGTGTTTTTGGGCCGGAAAACCTTCATTTGGCCACACTTTAATATATATATATATATATGATAGAGAGAGATAGCAAGCAGTGGATGGCTTATTTTTTAAGGGCACTTCAGTACACTCCAACAAGGGGTGGCCTTCCTTTCCCTTTGACCCAACCCCAAACGGTACCGAGCCCAAAATACAAATGAACACCATGGGGTGGCACAGTTAGAATATGTGTGTTTGGCAAAACTTCATCAGGTGATATTCTTTGAGGGTCCAAAAGCGTGGCCTTCCTTTCCCTTTAGCCTAACCCCAAACGGTACCGAGCCGAAGCTATACATTGTACACCATCGGGAAAACCTTCATCAGGCCACACTTTAATACATATATATATATAATAGAGAGAGATAGCAAGCATTGGATGGCTTATTTTTTAAGGGCACTTCAGTACACTCCAACAAGGGGTGGCCTTCCTTTCCCTTTGACCCAACCCCAAACGGTACCGAGCCCAAAAAACAAATGAACACCATGGGGTGGCACAGTTGCAAAACTTCATCAGGTGATGAATCGTAGGCATAATGAAAGATATAGAGATAGTAAATTTTGATTGGTTTATTCTTTGAGGGTCCAAAAGCGTGGCCTTCCTTTCCCTTTAGCCCAACCCCAAACGATACCGAGCCAAAGCTATACATGAACACCATGGGGCGGCACAAATAGAGGCGGAAAACCTGCATCAGGCCACACTTTAATACATATTTATATATAATAGAGAGAGATAGCAAGCATTGGATGGCTTATTTTTTAAGGGCACTTCAGTACACTCCAACAAGGGGTGGCCTTCCTTAACCTTTGACCCAACCCCAAACGGTACCGAGCCCAAAATACAAATGAACACCATGGGGTGGCACAGTTAGAATATGTGTTTTTGGCAAAACTTCATCAGGTGATGAATCGTAGGCATAATGAAAGATATAGAGATAGTAAATATTGATTTGTTTATTCTTTGAGGGTCCAAAGGCGTGGCCTTCCTTTCCCTTTAGCCCAACCCCAAACGGTACCGAGCCGAAGCTTTACATTGTACACCATCGGGGGGCACAGTTAGAATATTTGTTTTTGGGCCAGGAACCTGCATTAGGCAATTAATCGTATGCACACATAAACATATATATATATAATATATATATATATATATATTTCTATATAATATACATAGTAGATATGGATTTGCGTTTTTTGAGAGTACCCCACTATTCTCCAAAAAGGGGTGGCCTTCCTTTCCCTTTAACCCAGCCCCAAACGGTACCGAGCCCAAAATACAAATGACCACCATGGGGTGGCACAGCTAGAATATGTGTGTTTGGGCCGGGAAACCTTCACCATGCATTCAATCGTATGCAAATATGTAAACATATACATATTATATATAGAGAAAGTAAATATGTGTTTGCTTAGTTTTTGAGGGTACCCCACTATGTCCGAAAACGGGGTGGCAATCCTTTCCTTTTAACCCAACCCCAAACAGTACCGAGACCACATATGAATAAATGAGACAGTTCGAGTAATCCCAAATCTTGACATTCCTGCGCAAACCCTTGGAAGTGGAACAGACAAATAGAATAATCTGTGTCAGATACAAAGGCTGCAAGGTCTGGAAAACGACCTTTGAAAGGAGGTATGGGCAATACTGAGTTTAGTCCTGGCAGTCCAAAGCAAGTCGAGAAGTGTGTTATCAGAACAGGTTTATTTTGAAAATCTACGGCCCTTGGCTGAATTATTCTATCTGATAAAAATACTAAATTTACTATTGGCAATACTAAAGTTAGCACTGGCAATACAAAATTGACTATTGCGGCAAAGCTACCCCTCTTCTCGTAGCCAAAAAACATTCCAGGATACGTTTTTAAATAAAACATTTTACAGTTCAAATCCTTGCTAAACTTTACTCGGCTTAGCATTGGCAATCCAAAGTCTATATTGGCAATGCTAAATTCAGTACCGGCAATAGCAAGAATGTCCTGCCAATACTAAATTTACTATTGGCAATGCTAAAATTAGTACTGACAATATAAATGAGCACTATTCTCAAACTAGTACTGGCAATGCAAAATTAAGTACCGGCAATGCTAAAATTAGTCCTGGCTCGGAGGACCTGATTTTACCGCCCGCGTGCAACTCCAAAGTTTCTACCTTTGAGCTTTTCGTGAAAGCGTTCGAGCTTCCCCCCCCTCTAAGCTCATTTCTCACTAGCAATGCTTCATGGACATCTGAGACATCACCATCTGCTCTTATTATTCACCCCATGCACCTGCGCGGCTCGATGCCATCAAACGTTTCGACACCATCAATTGGTCAATCTGTGTGAAATTGCCTTGTGACCCAGCTTGCTGAAATATTCTATCTGTCAAAACATATTCTATCTGCTGGCCACCTGAAAAGGTGTTCAAATTTCAAGGATTTGCGCAAATGTGAATTATTCTGAGTGACTCTTGTGCTCCTAAATATTCTAACTGATGTTTTGGGAAATTTTCGGTGTAAAATATATTCTAAGTGAGGATCGGACGGAGTAAATTATATTCTAACTGCTAGCCCGACACTATACTTATCATCCCAACATTTTCTGCGGCGCCCAAGACTACCAGCAGTGGAAGAAATGCAGCAGGGGCTTTCAGAGAACCAAAGGAGGCCTAGCGCGTCTCAAGGATCTTGGTCTTTGAGGGTTGTCTGCCCTCGTGCCACCCTCCACTCCTTGCACCACACCCACGCCCACGCCGCCCCATCCCACCCCACCCCCAAAACATGGTAAAACTTTCATTCTAAGAAGAAGTATACAATTCATAACAAACAACAAACATAAAATATAGATTATAAGTATCACGCAACAAAACAACCAACAAACAGAAACAAACCACAACAGCGTCAACATTCATCACCTCATCCGTTCCAAACCAAAATCATAACAGCATCAACACTCATCACCTCATCCATTCAACATAACACAGAACAACCAACAGCCAAAAAGAACCTAACAGGAAACTAACAAATAAGAAACAAAGCGAGCTAAAACAAAACAACCCCTCCGCTTCCTTGGGACCACAATTCTTGCGTTGGACCGCCCGCGATACGACTTCACCCGCTTCAATTGATGAGGCGTGTTTCGTTCGTTCGCAGTCAATAGTGTTGTCATTGGTGTTTGCCGGCCTTGGCTTTCCCTTGGACACCTTGTAGTTCATTCAAGCGCCCTGTGATTCGAAGGACATTTCCCAACAGTGGTTCGCGTAGCGCCTCTGTCGCTCACGGCGTGTGAGGCGGCCATCTTGCCTGAGATGACAGGCTATGACTTGCAAGTTGAAGGCATGATGATCAGGCCGCAGAACCAAAGCCTCCTCACTGATGTCGGAGCAGGGTGAGAGCAAGAATGCAGTTTGATGATACCTGTCTTCTCTCAACCGCCATGATTTGGGCGATGAGGGTGGCGCGCTCGTTCTCAAGAACGGTCAGACCGTCGCCTTGGCCTTCGCTACTCTTCGTCTTCGGAAGCTTCCTGTTCAACCTGTTTGGCAGTGATGAGGACAGCGACCAAGACAACCAGCTCTCAAGCTTTGACCTTAGGCTGCTTTCACGCTGCCCTGGCCTGATCACATCTAATATCTTTTTTGTTGACCTAGCGCTTCGAAAACAACAATGTTAAATTTTGGCACGGCCCTCGGCTGCAAAGGGCTTATAGCCCTTTCTCTGCGTAAACTCCGCTGGTTGTTCTAGCCAAGCTGTCCTGCGAAATTCAGCGTTGAGCAGTCTTCTTGCTGTGTGATAAGACTCCCCAGCCAGTTGGCAAGTTAATTTAATTTCTCGTTTTTAGCGCGCTCTGAGTGATCGGAAGATAACAGAAATGACACCATTGAGGCGCCGGACGCTCCGGCTGCGCAGGCCAAAAAGGGGGCGCTTCAAACGTAGCCTAAAATCTACAGGCCCTCAGACAGTGGGTTTTTATTGCGTTGCCCCACCAAGGAAACCCGCGTCAAATGTCTTCCAAACAACGGTGATTGTTAGCGGGCCGGCAAGCCAGCTTCGCAGCAAATGAGCCGCTACACTCTGCTTCGCCGAGAGCCCGGGCAAATCCATATATCTGGGAGCCCGGGTGGCTGCGTGCGCCTGAGACAGCACAACGACGGGGTTGTCTGTGGCACCCTTCTATCCAGGGCCTTCTTTGCTTCACGCAACAACCAGAGCGCGTGTTTGTTCCAAGCCACGGTACTCCCTGCGTCACCCTTCCCAAAGGCATTGCGCAGTCGCTTTCCGCAAACCACTACGTCTCGCAAAAACCGAACCTTTGAGGTCAAACATTGCTAATTATCAAGCAGCTCACGGCGTGCGTCTTGAGCCTGAAGTTCCGGCACTCACCGCTGCGCTTATCGCGGTTCAGGCTCAACTTCCCCGCACCAGGCACACATCAAAAACCTGATGGGCGATGAATCCTACCTTTTTGGCTACACTCAAAGCTGGATCAAAGCATGTTGGAAGGGCAGTCAGTTTCCGCATGACTGCAACATCTCCAACCACCCTGCGCTCGCAAGCTGAAAACCCTGTGTCGCTTGCCCACCAAAGCGGCCCTCCCCCTTCGCCTTCAAAAATGTTGAGGTTGGTCAATCATGGCTGAACAACCACGCAGCGCAGCTCTGGATACCCCGCTCGCCTTCAGTCCATGGGCTCCGCCTTTCTGGCCCTGGCCCTGGCAAAAGTCCGGCAAGCAGGAATGAAACTGCGCAAAGGGCCCGTCAAGCAACAAGGACCATTCCGCACTTGCCCCTTTGACCTTGAGCTCCAAACGGGCTGTCGCCTCACGCAAAGCCAGCGCCATCTTGGGAAAATGCCGGCAACCGGCGTCCCTATGCCGGCTTCATCGCAAAAGGAAGGTGGCAAATTGGAGAAGCTTCCTGGCGCGGACATGTCATTTTCGGAACTATGTTTCTCCTGGCTTTCAAGCTTTCAAGTGGACCTGCCAGAGGAGAGCAGCGGGCGACAGGATTAGTGGACCACAGAGATGATGCTGGGCATCGTGCGATTTTCGGCTCTGCGCTTTAGCGCTGGGAAGCTTGAGGGTGGCCCCACGATGGAAGCTGCCCTGAACAGTCGAGAGCCCATTCTTCATCTTCAGCAGATCTTCCACCTCCTCCGGCGTCCAGGTCCGCTCCGGCGCGTTTGCCGCAGAAATGCGCGTTGCTGAGAAGTGGTTGGATGACGCCGGTCGTGAGAAGGTGTCCTTTGTGCACAGCTGGGTTCGTTACAAAATCTGTACCTGACCTTGTGAACGCGCAGCGCATGCTACGAAATCTGCGCGGCAGCGTGCGCATCAAGTTGCCAAAGCACTCCATGAGCCGCGGCTTTGCGAAACCTCTGCCGTTGCTGCCACAAAGTGTATGCGTGCGTGCGCCCAAGCTTGTGAAAAGCGCTGCGCCTGCCAATTGGGATTTGCAAACGCATTCCAGCATCGCTAAAGCGTTGCGCCTGTCGCACCATCTGTGCCTGACTCTGCGAACGCGCTGCGCCTGTCACGAAATCTGCGCCTGACCTTGCGAAAGTGTTGCGCTTGTCAGGACATCTGGTCGGAGTCGCCAGACCGCTGCGCCTGCTTTGCAATCTGCATTTCAGGTTGCCGAGGCGCTGCGCCGGTCGCACAAACTCACGTCGTGAAAAGCGCGCGTTCATTTCATGGGCCGCGCAGCTGCTGTTTCGAACAGTTCCAAATGTGTGCCACGGCCCGTAGTGATTACGGACTGGCGCCCTCCGCCTAGGAGCTAGGCGGCGGACGCCTTCAACGTTTCCCCAAACATCAGCACGCACTAGTTCGGCTTCAAAAACAGCGCCACCCTGCTGCTATCCCATCATTCCGACAGGGTGCTCCGCTGCTGCAGGGCCTGCACCTGAGCCATTCATCATCTGCGTAAGTTTTCGAGGCCACTATCTGCCGGCTGGGGCAAACGCCCGATGCCCAACTTCCAGCATCAAATCCTGTTCTGCCAGTCATGCTGCCGACACATTGCACGTGGGAAGCGTCAACCCCTTGAGCCTCATAGCTTGCACCGCCAGTCCGGCCCCCACATCGGTGGCAGCGACATGAAGCTTGGAAGCCTCCATGGCTGCACAGGCGCTTTGGGCTCAGCTCTTTCCCTTGAGCCAAAACAAACTGCGCCCCACGCAGAGGGAATCCTGAAGGACACGCCAAATGGTTGGCATCGTGGCCAATTCAAAGGTTTGATCCTGAAACTTCACGTTGGCAGCGGGTTGCAAACTGCTGGACAGCACAAATAAAGCAAATAAGCACACATCTCGAACGCAGCTTCTCCACAACTGCTGCAAAATACCCAGCCTGCTCTGACAAACAAAACAGCCTGCGCTCGACATTATACTCGCTAGAGACAAAGAGCAGGAGAGAAAGAAAGAAGAGAGAAAGAGAGAAAAAGAGAAAGGGGCAAAGAAAGAGAGAAAAAAAGAGAGAAAGAATAAAGAAAGGAAAAAAAGAAGAGACAGAAAGAAACAAAGAAAGAACTAAAGAGGTAAAAATAGCAGACATACAAAAGACAAGGCAAAAGAAATAAGAGAAAGAAGGGGGAAAGCAAAAGTGAAAGAGAAGGAAAAAAGCGAACACGAGAAGGAGAGAAAGAGCGAAAACAAAGGAGGAGAGACGAGGAGAATACTAAAGCGCGCGAGCAAAACATGAAAGAGAGAACGAGAGAATGAAAGAAACAAAGGAAGAGACATACAATAAGAAAAACCACAAAGAAGGAAGGGAAGAAAGAAAGGAAGAAAGCAAGAACAAACGAACGAACGAACGAATGAATGAAAGAAAGAAAGAAAGAAAGAAAGAAAGGAAGGAGGGAAGGACGGAAGGAAGGAAGGAAGGAAGAAAGAGAGAAAGAGTGAAAGATAAAAATGAAAGAATGCAGGAAACACACTAGATAAATCAAAATCTGTCCGCTCCAGATCTTTCCCGAAAAGCCCTTTGTGCCGGGAATAATGAGAAGTTAAGAAGGAAGGAGACAATGACGTAAAGAAAATTGCAAGTTCGGGAGAAAGAGAAGGAGAGAAAGTGAAAGCGAAAGAAAAAGACAAAGGAAGAAAGAAAGAAAGAAAGAAAGAAAGAAAGAAAGAACGAAACAAAGAAACAAAGAAACAATACAAAGATAGAAAGAAAGAAAGAAAGAAACAAAGAAAGAAAGAAACAAAGAAAGAAAGAAAGAAAGAAAGAAAGAAACAAAGAAAGAAAGAAAGAAAGAAAGAAAGAAAGAAAGAAAGAAAGAAAGAAAGAAAGAAACAACCGGAACAAAGATCAGAACAAAAGAATAAACGAAGGAAGGAAGAAAGAAATTGAACCATCCCCGGAAAGATAGAAACCCTTTCCCAGGTCTGGCACGCCGAAAAAGAAAAAGCGCGAACGGAAAGATAGAAACTGTCAAACAGTCTGGCCCCATGCTTTGCTTTTCGGAGGCACACATTGTCCCCAGACCTTCCGCAATCGGAGAGTTTCTATCTTTGGAAAACCTGCAGAGGGTTGATGCCGTTCTCGCAGGAATACAAAATGAAGTGTTGGCAATACTACATAAGGTAGTAGCAATGCTGAATTTAATAAGGCCAATACTAAACTACCTCCCGCGTGAAACTCCAAAGTTTCTATCTTCGAGCAATTAGTATGATTTTGTTTGCTTCTCAAAGACAAAACCCTTTCAGGATTCATTTTTGGAAATGAATTTCAAACAGCTACTTTCAAGTGCTAGATTTAGGGTTGGCAATAGGAATTTTCGTACTGGCATAAGACAACCAGTACTGGGAACACTTTATATATTACTTGCAATATTAGATCAAGTACCGGCAATACCACATGTAGCGCTGGCAACACTAAGTTTCGCGCTGCCTATACACACATTGCTAATGTTAGAACGTGATTCGTAAACCCCCTCTGATTAAAGACGCCCGCCCACAAGGTTTGGCCACAAAACCCTTCTTAACTTTTTGGGGGCGCCTCCCCAAACACCAGCCGATTAAAGACGCCCCGGCAGCGGCAACAGCCTTTTGCTCTTGGCACGCTTATGATGTGGACTGTTGAAGCACGAATCTCGAACTCACCCAGCCACCTGCCCCTTTGAGAATAATCACCGTGATGAAAACTGTTGGCGTAATGAAACGATTCCTCAACCCGGCGCTTTCCAAAATGATCTGTATACAAAAGAACAGCAGTTTGCTCCTGGTCCTAACCGCTCTCACAAGTCTCCCGCCACACCCTTTCCTGCCCTCAAGTTTTCGTCAAACACGTGCTTCCCCCAAAATGCATTTTTCTTCATCAAAATTTGTTTAAAGTGACAAGGCTTTCAAGCTCACAAAGGGGGCCCCCTTCAAGGCCAACCCCCCCCCGTCATTAACAGAAAACCCCCCGCGATTCATCAAGGCCCTTGAAGGCTCAAAACCAACAAATTGCTTTTTAAAGTCGAAGGGGCCAGAAGCAAGAGGACGAGGACCGAAGGGGCTCGAGATTAATTGGGGCTTCCTCATCAAAATCTCAGTTTTGGGGACTTGCCCAAACCTTGTTGACCTTGAAGGGGGAGGCGGAGGGGGTAGTTTATGAATCGTGTTCCTACATTTACTGGCTGCGCTAAATTTAGTACTTGTTTAGCTTTTATCTTCGCGTATGTTCGGCTATATGCAGGCTTGTGCAAGGATACAAACTTTTTAAGGAGGTTCCATGAGCAAACAATGTGAATGAGTTGGATTGCTCTTGCAGTGTCCTCCACCCCCTTCTCAAAGCCACAATCCTTCAAGGATTCATATTTCGATAGGGAGTTAAACAGCTCAACACCTACTGAAAAATGAACTAGATTTGCTATTTGCAAAAAGAAAACTTCGCGCTGGCAGTCACATAGGGAACACTGTATTTAGCACTTGCAATGTTAGATCAAGTGCTGGCAATACCAAATTTAGTACTGGCAATACTAAGTTGTACCAAAAGTATTACTACTCGTTTCTTACCACCTGTGAAACTCCAGAGTTTCGATCTTTGCGCACGCCTGGCCATACGCAGGCTTGCGCAAAGATAGAGCCTGTCGTGCCAGTGTGGCAGACGACCTCTTCGCGTCCGCAAAAACCACCTTTGACCAACTCTCCCTTACTGCGATTAATTGGCTCAACGCGCGCGCAGTGCTATAATGAGGCAGCCGAGCGGGCGCGCTTACCATGCTCTGGCGCGCGCAAAGTGTTATAGCGAAGCATTCGAGCGTGCGCTTGTCACGGTCAGGCGCGCGCGCGCAGTGTTGTAACGTAGCAGCCGAGCAGATGAAATTACCCCTGGTCAGAATTCCACCCTCCGGAGCCAGAGATTCTTTCCCTTGCTGGTCCAAGTACAACAGGCACCATTTCACACGCAGTCTTATGAACATGCACTATCCGGCCAACTGCAACGCAGCGCCTTTGCGCGAGACAACTTCCCAAGGGCCGGTCAGACGCAATCCTCGGCGTCCAGGCTAACCTGTAACCCACGACGGCAGACTTGCAGAGCGGCCTCCGGGCCAGCAAGATGGTCCTTTCTCACAGTTGTGTGTTGGCTGAAATCTTATGAGCAAAGTGCTTGAGTCCTTCTGCAGAGGAACGTCCAGGGACCAAGGTCTTCCCAGGTCCCGCGACGTGTGCCCATGAGGACTTGGGATTGTATTGATGCAGTATTTGAGGAAGAAGGCCCCCTCG